CATCACCTTCGCAGTGTTAAGCGATCGAAGTTTTAAAGATTTTCTGCCAACGTTTTGAGTCTACTTGGTGTCTCCACCTTTTTCACTTTCATTTGACCTGGTTCCTTTCGCGATATTGTTTTTTTGGTTCAGTTTTGCAAAGACAAATGGTGTTCTATAACTCTATGAGAAGCGACTGACGATGTAGACAGCTGATATGGAGCGTTAGAAATATGATTCCACTGGTAGGAACTAATGCTTGGGTTTATAAGTGCAGAGCCACATATTTCTTGTGCATAACTGTGTCATTTTTCTTAAAACTTTGTAAATGACCTTTTGGCCGAAATCTTTTCCAGGTTTTGTAGATTGAGTATCCATCGATCAAAGGAAGGTTAATAGCTTATCAGCAGTTAGGAACCAACGCTTACTAAATGTATGTCTGCAACCTCTTCGGAAGCAGCTTAGCTAGTTGTCCATTCTTCTGCAGATATTACTTTACTAGTATGCGAGGCATACAACATAATCTTCCGTTGAGTTTAACTTTCTTGAATGGTACCACTACATCGACAACGTAGACTATGAAGCTTCGTCTAAAAAGTAGTTGTATCTATAAGAGGGTCCATGGGGAACTCATAGATAATTAGTAAAATTGCTGAATCGAAAAAAATAACGTAGGCTTTTCGAGCCTTCTGGTTAAGTCTTTTATATGAGACATAAAGCGGAGCGAATGATTTATGGATGCTTTGAATCCTTTACTAACTTCGATCAGGGTGCAACTGGAAAGAGGAGGACGAATGAAGGAGCGAGAGAAGGAGTACAGGAGGTGGAGAAAGGGAGAGGGGAGTGGTGGAGGAATGTGAAAAAGTACCTCAGCTGTTGTACTGGAAGTAATCGTGAGCTGCTTTCAGGTGGCTGTTCAACCCGTTCGCGATACGAGCAAAAAAAAGTAGCTCCATCACATCGATTTGCTGATCTTGAAGACTGTAAAGAAGCTTATTGGGGTTACTGCCGAAACGGTGGTATTTGTAAAATGACGACAGACATCTCGAAACGAGCTGTGCCTGCTTGCTCGTGAGCGATTTAATCTATATCGTTGCTCAGAAGCAGCTTACTTAATGGCTCATTGTAATCCTTACAGTGTCAGATTATCAATTTAATTTCGAATCTTCCAGTTGCCCAGCAGGATTCCGTGGCAGGCAGTGTGAACTAATCAGCGATCCAAACATTTACTTCTCACGGCAACAAGGTCAAATGGAAATGGCAGCAATGTCCAGCCTTTTACTAGCAATTGTGTTTGCGCTCTTGTTCGCATCGTTTGTGTTGTACTTTTATAGGAGGTGAACTTTTATCTGATTTTAAGCAGAAGCAAATTGGAATAAGTAGCGTTATTGAGAAGTATGGATGAGAGGAGATGTCTAAGTTCATGCGTCTTGATTCGGTTAGATAAGCGGATACAACTTATCGTTATTCCTACTTTACACTGTTTTTTTGCTACCCGCAAATAAATGCGTACATTTCTACAATTTATTTTGTTCAGATATATGAAATACGGGATGCGGACAAGTAGTTCATTATCAACCCTTGATACTTTGGAGCTTTCACCTTCAGATCAACAGAAAGCTAGGAATCCGGAGCAAAATACGGATGATCTCAAGGTAAGGCAGATACCAGGGTGTTTACACGCTGTCTATTGCTTCAAAATTTTTTGTTAATGGAGCACAGTTAGATGCACAGTCAGTCGCACACACGGCTGAGGAAGTAATGAAAACAAAATTTAAATTCCGATAACGTCATGCATTTTGCAGAAGAAAATGAAAAGGGTAACACTGTAATCCGCGTATGCGTATTTGTGCCGGTGTATATGCATGCCTGTGTGTGTATGTGTGTGATTTGGTTTGTATGCGTGATTTGGTATGTGAGTGTTTGTATGTGTGTGTGTGTGTGTGTG